ATATGTATATGTATATATGTATATATGTATATGTATATATGTATATATAAATATATATGTATATATGTATGTATGTATGTATATGTGTATATATATATATACATACATATATACACACATATATATATACATATATATATATGTATATATGTATATATGTATATGTATATATATATATATATCACATTTTTTTGTACACGATATAATTTCATTATAAACAAAATGAGTTCCAGACAAATTATAACCAAATACAATGAACAGAGTACAAAAAAATATAAGTTTCTTTACAGCAGTGGTTCTTTATTATTTTCTGTCACGCCGCCCCCTCCCCCCTTTCGGGACAGAAATGTTTTTACGCACCCACCGGCTTCCCTCGACCTACAGCCCCGCGAATTGAAATACTATTGAGAACCCGATAACATCTATATTTCTACCTGTACAAACCACTGTATGAGTTGCTGCCACCTAGTGTCTGGAGGCTTGTTATCATTCAAGCATTACAGCAGTGGTACACTTATGTCCAGCGTGCCATATTCCATTGGAAGCCCCCCCAACCCCCACCCCCCAACTGGTCTGGTCTGATGTACATCCCTAACTGTCAGTATCTTAAACAACAAAATACATAAAATCTGGAAATTTCTCTACAGAAACACTGTAAAACACTGTTTGCGTCTGTGTTCTTCCTACGTTCTGTGTGAACACCTGAATGCCACTTAGGCTACGTAGGGACCTAACATCTTGGGTTAATCGCGGGTCACATCCATACTGCCACCTACTGTATTAGAGTGTGTGGTGTCACGGTATGACCACTGACTTTATTTGCGCCTTAATGTGCAATCATTTTCTGAGCATTTTTATCGCATTTAAATCGATTCTTGTCACTAACACGTCGTGCCCTACGCAACTAAAGATTCGCAAGTGTGCAATCATCCGTCCACCGATCTGTCTTCCTGCTGCGTAGGCAGCAGTCTGAACAGAGAAGCTCAGGCTTCCCTCTTATATCTTTGATCTTGCTCATTCAGTCACTAACCGCAGCTCATGACCACATGTGAGTGTAGCTGTGTAGACTGACGGGTAAACGTTCGGGCTCAGCTTCTTGTTAACAAGAACAGACGGCTGCAGAGTGTGTCCTTACTGCTGATGCAGCGCATCAGATCGACACATCGACCTGTCAATCTCTCTGCACTCTAGTGGTTACTACACTCAGGGACGTCTTTGTCCCTGAACGGCAGCAGTTGAACTATTCAGGTCACATAGTGTAAAAGTAAAGTCGTTTCATTTGTCATGACTGATATTTGGGGGATGTCCGATTTTGAACTTTTTTTGCCGATATCCGATATGCCGATACTATACCGAACACTTAATTTCAGATTTCGATATCAGCCGACGTCGCAACCCTGTGCTGTGTCACTGTGACAACAATTCACTTTCACTTCGCTCCACTATTTTTAGGTCGCATTATCTGGGTGTAACCTAGGCATTGTGTTAGCGGTGTTTTCATGAAACGGATCCTTATCGATATAACATAATTGTGCTAATATCAGCTGATAATGTCGGTTAGCCGATAATATCGTACATCCTTACTAATATGTTATAAAAAAATGCTCATCGCTAAAACAAATAAATAAATAGGAATGCAACTCTACGCAGTCTCTGCGTAAAGATGCTAATGTCAGTAACTTTGATTGTTTGCGTTATGTTTACGTTTTTCAAAATGAAGTCGGTTTAAAGCACTGAAAGTCTATGAAGGTTTAGCTGCTTCACACCGACATTACACATCGTACGTTTTTCTTCTGTTAAACGTTGTTTTCAAATGTTTTGAATTGAAGTTGTATATTGAGTCATAATGTTAGCCACCAGAAGCTCCAGCTCCAGAAACTAAGAACACTTTGTCTCCACTTTACCCCAGATCTCCTCAGTCGTCTTGAGGATCTTAGAGGGACGCAGAAGATAGTAGCTGAGGTGGGGCCCACTTTACTGAACTGGGTAGGTGTTTTACTACTGTATAGCCCGATCAGAAAGAAGACTAGAGAGGACTAGAACTGTTAACATACTATGTCATAAAAATCCTTGTATCAATCACTCTTTGCAGTTCCCCCATCTCAAGGCTTATGTCACATACTGTTGTAACCAAGTGGGGGCCAAAGCCCTGCTGGACCAGAAGAAGCACGACAAGAGAGTGGAGCACTTTTTGAGTTTATGTCAGGAGTCTTCGTTTAGCCGGAAGCTGGACCTGTGGAATTTTCTGGATCTCCCCCGAAGTCGCTTGGTCAAATATCCACTGCTCCTCAAAGAAATACAGAAGTGTACACCACCAGAGCACCCTGACCAGGATGTACTACCTGACGCTGTGAGTCAAATAAAAACACCAATATATGGAAAGAATATATATAAGGAAATAGTATATAAAAGTATTTACATACATATATAAATACATATGCTGGATATGTGTGTATACGTACTGTATATATATATATAAACATATATAAATATATATTTATATATATATATTTATATATGTTTATATATATATTTATATATATATATTACATATATAAATATATACATGTTTATATATATATATTTATATATATATGTGCATGTGTGTGTCTGTTCACTCACCATATATTGTACATATTTATACTGTTATATTTTGGACACGTTTTTCCAAGGGATGTCCGATAATAACTTTTCGCCGATAACCGATATGCTGATGTCAACCAAACGCTCTATTACCGATTCCAATATCTACCGATACCGATATATGCAGCCGTAATATAAATTTGTGGGGGGTTTTTTTTGGGAGGGAACTTTTTGCCCTTCATCATGGCTCCCAGGCGTAAGTCTGACTCTTCTGATGTTCTTTTTTTTCTGTGCCTCTCTGCTGTTTAGTTGGAGCTTATCCAGAGTATCGTGGCAGAGGTGAACACGAAGACAGGAGAGGCTGAGTGTCAGTTCTACAGACGCAGCCTTGTGTACATGGAAGATAGCCAGCGACTGTCAGAGATCCTGCTGTCTCGCTTCCTCTATTGCCACGGAGAACTCAAGAGCCACAAGGGCCAGGTGGTCGATCAATATTCTGTTTTATTCATTTGTTTGGATCATAATTTTATCTATGACTGCCTGAACTTTTTGCTCTGCCTCTTTACTCAGCGGCTGCATGTGTTCCTGTTTGAGTTGGCGCTGGTGGTGGCCCGACCTGGTGAGGTCAGAGAAGTAGGTCAGGTGTTCCATGTGTACCGACAGCCTTTGCTCAACACCTCCATAAATCTAGAGGAGATTCCTGACGGGGACTTAGGAGGAGGAAGCACTTTTAGAGGAGCCTTCACTGGAGGAAACGACAAAGGTAATGTAAACAGCACGGCACAAAAGATAAATGAACTTGTGATTACTTTTAAAATATATAAATTAAAGCCTGACATCTGTGATTGAGAATGTGCAATGCTCGCATTTCACCAATAGATGGCATAGACAACGCTGAATACTTGTGTCAAAATGTACGTTAGTAGTAAAAGTAAAATTACCTGTTCCCGAAACTACTTAAAAAATTACAAATTACTCACAAAAATGACTCAATTACAGTAACTTGAGTAAATAAATGTAATTTGTTACTTTCCACCTCTGCAATTGATATTCTATCAGATCAAATCTCCAATAGAAAAAAAAACACAGATATATGTCAAGGGAGTCGCAGTAGTTTTGAACTGACATTTTTTTTTTTTGAAGTACCCCTACATCCAGTCAACAACGTGCCTGACTTTCTCCCATGTAGTTAAGAACTGTTTCCGTGTAAGCAGCAGAGGGCGGTCCAAAGGTCACCAGTATTGTCTGCAGGCGAACGACTCCTTCAGCAAGCAGCAGTGGATCAGCTGTCTCAGGCAGGCCATCGTCCATTCGCGGGACACGACAGCTCAGTCTAACTGGGCGCCTCTGTCCCTTCACTCTGATGCTGCCCTTTCTGACATTGCTGAGCTCAGCCTTTCCTCGGACACAGAAATGGCCGACGACCCCGTTCCCTGAACGATCACTGGTGCTCGCACCATGGACGGTATACAACAGATGGAACTGCTTGTGAAAGAGGATTCTGTCGCTGTGAGCCCTGTGTAGTTGCTATGCTTTTATACAAACAGCCACCTGGGGTTGTTTTTGTTTTTTTTACCAGAAATATACTAGCTGTCTTAAAAACATGAATTACGAAGGTTTTGTCGTTTCACCAAAACAAGAGTCATGGATGACATATGACATTGAATAGTTTTAACGCCAGTAAATATTTGTTGCGTCAAAATCTTTTTTTTTTTTTTTTCCGTTTATCGGAAGGAGACTGATATGGCAGATATGTATGTTCTTTAATAAAATCTTGACGTTGGAACAGTTCTAACAAAGATGATTAACGTTTTGGTACGTTCTATAAAACAAAAAAAACAGTCGCGTGGCAACTACGTCTATCTGTAGCTGTATTTTCTGTGCAACGAAACCAGTTTCGCTACACATTTGCGGTCACATTGCGAAGTAATGCGAAGTCGCTCCCCAACTAATGACCATTAATTAATCCACCTTGAAATTGCTAACCGCTATGCTATGCTGCTAACATGACAATGTTTATATATTGCGCGAGTAGCAGACACTAATACACAAGCCTAGAGTGCCCTCTAGCGGCTGTTAGTGTGAAAATAAGGAACGTAAATTTCAGTGGCACAAACAGATACTGGTACACAAGCCTAGAGTGCCCTCTAGCGGCTGTCAGTGTGAAAATAACAAACGTGAAATGATATTTTAATATACAAGTCATACGAGTTTCTATGAGTCACAAACCCAGCCAAAAGACAAAAAGTTACTTTTAACTCTTCAGGGTGCAGTGACTCAGCGTAAACGCGGGGCGCGACCCTGTGCAGTTAGTATTTCTGACAGCTAAGAATTGCACAGCAGCATGAACTGTTAAAAGTGCTGTGTCACAATGTCACTTTCCTTCCTCCCTCTTACAGTACTGATCTGATGGACACAGAGGTAAGCACGTGACAGCATGTTTAAACACTACCTAAAGGTTGAGCAATGAGTTGTGTAAAAATACCCTTTGGGTCATAACACATTTATTTTAACACAGGAAGCCCCGAATGGTGCAAGAACAGGATGCTGTCAGTGCTTCAATTTTTTTTTTTAATTTTTTTTTTTTAGCTTTTCTCTAGTCAGTCTCAGCCAACAGCTCAGTGCTCTTCCTGGCAACAACTGAAGCAGTGGGTGCAGTTTGCAGTTCCTCTAAGATATGCATTACCCACACACACACACACACTATACAATGAACGTGGTTGTAGGATAAGGCTGAAACATGTCGTCAGTTCAGACATGGGATTCCATTGTACTACAGCTTGAATGAACTCCTGAACTTGCAGGACCAATCAGCTGCTTCCCTCTTCTTATCACTTATCACTGATGGATAGATATCACTTTATTAATCCCTCTGAACAGTTGACAGTTACTCTTCTGGTGTTTAACCAGTGCAGGCCTCTGACATTTTTTTGGTATAATTAGTAAAGGAATACTCTATAAGCCAGTTCAGGATGATATTGAGAACTCTGAGCTACCTTGCTGGGACACAAACAGTACTCAGCTAACAGTTGTACGACATTTGTAGGGCCATGAGTTTTAGCTCCAGGAACAAACGTCTTTAAATGTACCAGGTTTAATAGAACTATTTCCTTTTGCCATTTTGAGATTTTTGCTTAGTAAAGGCCAAGGTTTTCTGTGCTCAAGATAAGCTACTGAACAATGGGTTCTGTATGTTTGATGACTTGTAGTCACTCAAGCGTCTTTTCCCACTACTGCCTAAAACTTAAGCACAGTTTCAACTTACTCTAATTTACAGGACAATTCAAATTATGATATAAGCAAACAGTAGGGTTGTGCATTCCATTTTTATTTTAGCACATCACCGCAGTTACAGGAAGTGAGAAAGATCAACAAGTCAAGCTATGCCCATATGAGCGGAAATGGTAAGAGGCAAGTACCACGTTTTACAGTTATTTTAACATTTCGTCAAAAACATGACAGTGACTCTTCAAAAGAAAAGAAAATGTTCACCGCAACAGTGTGGCAGTATGAGGACGGAATATCAGGAATGTGAAAAAGAAATGGTCAATAGTGACCTGAAAGACTATTGGTGAGCTTTTGGTCTCAGGACTAAGGAATCCTCCAGACAGTCTCAAAAAGACATTAAGACAATAGTGATGTATTAAGTGCTTAGGTTATCAGAAGGTAGAGACTGTTTACCAGATTAGTAGATGAAAACTGGAGATGGCATCTACGGAGCAGGAGGGCAGAATCAGTGCACTAGTTAGCAAAGACCTGGCGCACGGCGTTAGCGATGTGCTTGGCGCTAATGCCGAACACGTCGAGCAACTCGTTTGGCTTTCCACTGCGGGGCACACCAGACACTGCCAGTCGGTTCACAACAATTCCAGGCTCTGCGCCCACTGCTGACAGCACTGCTTCGCCAAGGCCACCTGCAGGAGGAAGAACCAAAGAAAGGGGATTTATTTAAAAATTTAAAATAAATAAATAAATAATAAAAAAAAAAATCACAAAATCCTAGAAGCAGGAATCAGTAAATCTCAAACAAAAACAAAATCAGTCCAACTTAAGTTACAAAGGTAACTGTCCTCTTCTAAGACATGTGACTAAGACAGTGGTTCTCAATTTTTTTCAGTCATGCCCCCCCTAGAGGAAAGATTTCTTTTTTTTTTTTTAAACACACCTCTAGCACTTTTGATATTAGAATACTATTGAGACCCTGATAATATGTATTCTCATATCTGTACAAACAACTATGAGTTGCTGCCACCTAGTGACTGGAGGCTTGTTTATCATTCTAGAATTGTAGCAGCAGCAGCACACTTCTGTGCATCGTGCCAGATTGGAAGCCTCTCACGGGAGGTGGTGGTGCTTAATATAACTACACATCAAGGTCTTTATGGAAAAAGATTCTTTAATTAGGACCACATTAGAAATCGACTAACCCTCTTTGTAGTGATCCTCCACTGTGATGATTTGTCCAGATGTGGCTCTGGCACTGGCAAGAATAGTAGCGGCATCAAGAGGCTTGATGGTGAATGGATCAATGACTCTGATGTTCTTTCCTAGAAGGGGACAAAAAAAATTTATATGAATTGTCTACCCATATATATATATATATATATATATACACACACACATATATATATACACACACACACATATATACACACACATATATATACACATACACATATATA